TTTCTCAAATATCACCTTCTGAAACCTTATCAGTCCCCTTGGAATAGTCCTCTTCTCCCTGCAGTAAAGGTCTCAGGAGAACACAGGGTGGTACTAGACCTCTACCTTTACCTCATTAATGAGGCTCTCATTCTAGCAGATTCATATATAATTCTTTCCAAAAATTCCAGTGAATACTACTTGGTTCTCTGTCGTAGATTTAAAAGACCCATTTTTTGGGCCAGGGAGATAGCTCAGAATAAGAACCTGCCTGGCAAGCACAGGGTCCTGAGTTCAATTCCCGGTACTACAAAAAGAAAAAAACAACAACAACAACAACAAAAAAAACCATTTTTCTCTATTCTCTTACACCAAGACTCCCAATTTGCTTGCCTTTGAATAGAAAAATTCTTTCTCAAGAGAAAAACAGCAAAACACTTAGTTCTCCTCAGGGATTTAAAGACAGTCTTCCCCTTTTTGCTCAGGAGTTTGCTATACCCACTTCAGTAAAGATAGCAGAGGTAGATAACTGGATTTATCTCTCTAGACTAATGCCAGTCCCATCTGAACTGTATGAAGAACAAGATCACCCCAAAAGAGAAAGCAGCTACTGTGAACCTCTGAAGACTTGAGTTTTCTCTTCAAAAAGAAGACTCCAGGGCTGCTACAGTAAACATGGAACTCTGACCTGCTTCTTATATTTAGGCTCAGGCCAGGGAGCACATAATCCTCAGTAGGTAGGGTCTACGGACCCTTCCAGCTTGAAGCTATAGGAGACACAGACCTCCATTCCCCCAGCACACTGTAAGCAATTATGGGGATTTGTATCTCTCACGAAAATGAGATAGATTTAGGATATGGCAAAGCTGGTTGGGGAGGCAGACATGCCCTGTTAATTACAAGGTACCATGTGTAGAACAGTTCTCAAAGCCCTGCATGTAGACGTCTCAGGAGAATTGGAGCAGATTTTCAAGAGGATGGCCTAGATCTGCTATCAACCTGAGGCCTGAGATCCCAGCATCACCTCTCAGGACCCATATGTAGACGTTCTAGTAGGTTCCTTTGAGATCTGGACTACATAAAACAGATGCCAAGAACTTGTGATTGTGACTATTTTCACAGCAGCTAGCCCAGCTTTCTCCCAGGAATCTACTTCTTTTTCTTGTTTTAGTGGGCCCAAGCTCACTCTACAGAACTGGTTTCTCCCTCACTCTCCACTTTCACTTTCTTCAATAAACTTGGCCACTGCTTAAAAAATTTAAAAAGAATACTCAGCCCCAAGCAATGTTTAGGTGCCTGTTTAGGTTTAGGGAAAAATGTCTGACAGAGTCTCACTTAGTCTGCTTGTTGACCACAATTACAGAACAATCCACAGGTCTCTCAGCATCAAAGCGTCTCTGGATTTCCTCAAAATATTGACGATAAAGCTCTTCTCTACGCCGTTCCTCACGTTTCAAACGCTCTGCAAAAACCACCAGGGAAAACAGAAATAAAGACTTCCTTGTAAAAGCAACCTATAGAACTCTAAATCAATCCTCAAATCTATCCCCTAAAAATAGCATTGTTGTTTACTATTATAAATCATGAAAATGAAGCACTTCAAAGGTATGCTTAATCCTCTACCTGATACCCAGTACCAAACCGTCCTCTAGAAAGGCTGATGCTAATTTAGACCTGTACAACGGCAGCCCCTCCAGGGCTCACTGTTCTGTGCCTTCATTAAGCTTTGGTATTATTATTCTCAATTTCTACCAAATTGACAGACAGTATTTCATTATTAGTTTGATTTGGATT